TAAGACAAAGTCACACAATTTACCAGCAAAAAGTGTACATTCCAAAAATGAAAATATTAAACAATTTTGATCTGATACTTTGAAATAGACCTACATAAAAAAATTTAAACTAGTTCATATTTACATTTTCATATGAAAATGTAATTAAAATCCAGTATCTAAAGCAAATTTGAGACTTTTCATTTTTTGATGCAACATTTGTGCAAGTTTGGTTTATACAATATTATATAAGCCTTATAGTTTTTTGGTAATAGACCTGCACCCATAACTTTTACCTGGTCTATAATCTGAAAAATGTATGTCAAATTTAGCATCCAAAGCAAGTCCATTAGTGTGCATCCTAAGATGTATTGTCCATGCAAGTTTGCTCATTATAGGGCTCATAGTTAATTGGAAATGAAACATGCATCAAAAACTAACATTTTCACTCATCCACAAAATGTAGGTCAGAATCAGCATCCGAAGGAAGCCTGGTAGTATGCATCCTTATATGTATCATCCATGCAAGTTTGGTCATTAAAGAACTCATAGCTACTTGGAAATTAAACCTGCACCAAAAACATTAACCTGTTCACTTAACCGGAAAATGTAGGTCAGATTCAGCATCCGAGGCACGCCCAGTAGTATGCATCCTTAGAGGTATCATCCACGCAAGTTTGGTCAACATAGGTCTTATAGTTACTTGAAAATGAAACCTGCACCAAAACTTTAACCTGTTCACTCAACCGGAAAATGTAGGTCAGATTCAGCATCCGAAGCAAGCCCGGTAGTATGTATTCTTAGATGTATTATCCATGCAAGTTTGGTCAACATAGGGCATATAGTTACTGTACTTGGAAATGAAACCTACACCAAAAACTGCACCAAAAATGTTAACCTGCTCCAAAAAAAAAAAAAAAAATAACCTGGTCATTCTTTTGCTGAAATTGCAGCATCTGAAACTTTGACTGATACAATGAAATACACTAGAAGCATCGTCCATGCATGTCTAATCAAAATAGGACATAGAAGTACTTAAAATGAAAACTGCTCCAAAAAACTTAACCTTAACCTGGGACGCCGACGCCGAGGGTATTACATAAGCTCCCCCAACTTCGTTGAGATGAGCTAAAAAGAGAATCCAAAAGCGCAATCAAAGATGTTTTTGTTCAGAGGGCACATGGATAAAGTAGCTTTGTTTTCTTAAGTGTTGTATTTATCGGAAAAATCATTGTAGGGCCATTTCCCCCGTGTTCGCCCGAATTTCATGGCCATGTCTTAAACAATATATAAATACCTAGTAAGCAAGGGTAACCAGTATAACTTTATAATATAAAGTAAAATTTTGGTAAATAAATAAAGATCTATTGCAACACTTAGTATTTTAGGTGGAGATTATCTTTAGATGAAACTTTTTGTACGATAATCAGGATCCATATCATCGGAGGGGGGGGGGGGCAAGCAAACCAGATTAAGTTTTCTCTAAATATCAGTAATTTTCTACCATTCACAGTTGCATGCTTTGTGCATCAAATCTGAGAACTAACAAGGAAGCAAACTGTCATTTTTTGGGAAGATGCAAGTGGGGGATGGGTTGGTGGTTTGCAGCCGGAAATTAAAATAAATTGACAATAAAAATTAAAATTTAAAAATAAAAAAAAAACAGAAGAAAGTTATTCAATCTTAAAATTACTTGAAGCATTGCGTGAATAAAATGATATGTTTAAAAAAAAGAGAAGGTCAGCAGCTTAAAAGAAATATTTGAAACAAAATTAACAAATTAACTGCCTTTCTTAATAAAAGTTGTCTGTACATTATTGTATGCGCAAACTGTGAAAAGTTTTGTTAGATACACAAACAGTGCAATGAGTGTGTATATGTGTAACTGTATATCCTTTCAAATATTCTTACATATTTACCGTTCACGGTAGCTCAGTCGCTAGAGCGCTTGCTCCGTTTTCGGGAGGTCGTGAGTTCGTATCTCGGCCGCAACAGACCTAGTTGTTAAAATGGGTAGCAACTGTTTGAAGTGAAAGTTGCAGGTCCTTTGGATAAGACCTTAAAAACCGAGGCCCCGTGTCAGCGGCAGTCGTTAGCACGATAAAGATCCCTCACTGCTCAATGGCCCTGAGTGCCGAGTCAAGGTCAAAATTTGAAGCCCTTCACCGGCATACGGTAACATCTCCATATGAGTGAAAAATTCTCGAGAGGTATTTTAAGCAATATACAATCAATCAATCTTACATATTTAAAAAAAAAATTCATATAAATAAAATGCTATTATTTTCACCTTTTAGTGATTTTGTTTGATCACATATATGAAATATTTCCTCATGCACCTCCAATCCCTCAGTAGATTTTACTTCCTTGATCTCTTCTTCACTACATCTGAGAAGACGTTTAAGTAGCGTGGTTTTCCCCGCGCCAGCACATCCTACAATCATCCCCCGGGCGTGGTGGATTGTCTGTGTTCCTCTCTTAGCATACTCCACATACCGCTCTCTGGCCTCCTGGTCCCATTTTAGTATTTCTTCTGGGACTCCCACTGTATCATAAAATAATCAACAGTATCAAACTAGAACTAGATGTACGATGAGCAATGAGCTTACTGTCACTAAATGTTACCGCCGCCTCCCATATTATTACAATATCATGACCATGATTTGCTATGGGAACCCAAAAATCTCTACATTGTTTTACGGGTGCTGTGTCCCATGTTATTTAATAAGAATATAATGGCAGTGTCAATCATGGTTTGCTACAGGAAACGAAAAATATGTATCGAATCAAAAAATAAAGAAAAGAATCAGTGACATTATGTAATAAAGATGATATGAAAGTTCAAAGTCTCATTAAATTTAAGTATAAGCGGAGTTGCGGATAAAGGATGACTACCCCAAAGAGTAAGAGATGGACAGACGGACGGACGCACATCGCGATTACTGTATACCCTCCGCTTGAAAAGCGGGTTGTTTGATAATAAAGAAATAAATCAGAATGAAAAAGTCATTTTGCATTTAGTTTAAATGACAAAATGTGGAAAAGAGAGATGAAACTCCTCAGAGTACTTTCTTTTTTCAAGGTAAAATAAATTAAAGCATTACAGCTTTATTGATTCCGTTGAGCATGGATGTAGGAAATCTGGTCAGTGGGACGGGTTGAAGGTAATGGGATTGGTGGGGTATCCAATCCAATAATTTTGCCGAAATATAGAAAAAACTATGGAAAAGGTAGCTATAATATGATTGTTTTCTGATGAACTCTGAGGTCTGATTCCAGGATTTTTTTGGCATTAAACAGTATCCCAAACTGAAAATGAATGCATGGCTGCATCCCCCTCCCCATCAAACAATGCTTTTTGCATGCCTTTTTCGGTTTTAATTTTTTATTCTACCATAATTGCACTTTTTTTACATATAAACTCTGTACTTATTTATTTTATATCCTTTCTTGGATAAATTGAAAAATAGGTATAGTTTCAATTCATTTTTTTTTCTTCTTTAAACTTTGAGGGTTATCTTTTTTTATTTGAATATATTTAATATTCTGTCACGTGCAACTCAGATCTTAAAATGTAATATTACATACAATAATTTTATTTCATAAAATGTACACACATGTACAGCGCTGGCAAACTTTTTTACATGAGTTTGATCTATATGTTGTGACATTGAATTATTTGAAAGACGTGTTTTAAAAATCATTAACAAAAACATGTTAAAATTAGAGACTAAGACCTGATGACATGACTCTTGACGGTATACATGTAACCCCCAACCTCCCCGGCCCATATCCTATATATGATCTCTAGTGGCATTAAATTTGTATTTTATAAGGTTAAATACTGTAGACCCTTTTCTTAGAAACATTACATATTTATGTGCATACTTTCAACACATTCAAGAATTTTTTTTTCTTTAAACTTCCGTGAAAATAAGCAAATCATATTTGACAAAAATGTTTCATGGACATATTTATTCTTGCTAGTAAATCTCTTTAATACATGTATTTAAAAGATGTGCATTAGAACCTATTAAGTATTACGAAATAAATATTAAACATTGTCATTTTTAAGCGTAACAGAATAGTTCACCTTAATAATCCAGTACTCACTTGATAACAGTGTTCCAAATATTGAGTATTTTACGTATTAACATGGTATGTACTCATATTTTCCTTCAAAAACATTTAAACAATTAAAAGAACTTCTTTTGCAAAATTAATGATAAGGAAAGTTCTTAAAGTCAACAAAATATTAGAGTAAAGCACCAAAACATGTTATCTTTTTTTTAATTGAACAAAGGTGAAAGTAAATAGATTCCGTTTTGTTATATGCAGAGGTAAAACGGTACTCACAACGTTTACTGATCCTGTAATGAATCCTCCTGTCAGACACGGTACAGTGTGTGATGATGTCCAGCTGTAGACTGTCTATGAAGAGGTCGTACATCTTCTCCGGTCTGTTCGGTACATACAGACATCTCTCACCCTTACTTCTCTTATAACCCCAGAGTCTGCAGTATTCATATATCACATCACGTGACGCCGTGGTCAGAAAAAACTCCAGATCACTGTCCTCCACCAGACACTCCGTAACAAAGGCGTACATGACGTCATGTCGGATGTCGTCTGATATAAAGGTTATCATACCGTCACGTGTTTCTGTGATTCCATCAGGAAGATCTACCGAGCCGTCATCAGTAATATCAGGGAAATACCTCTGTCTGATTTTGTCCTTGATGATTCTGTGGGATTGATCATTGAAACTAATCCGAAATTTATCAGATATAAGTAAACAATACAGTAGACATCTCACTTCCGGCGGATAGCCAAAGATTTTACCTGAAATGACAAACAAAATAATAAATTATAAATCACCAAACAAATAAATCAATTAAATAAAATAAATAAATTGTTAACATGCAGTCGAACTACATGGACTACACTTCAATCTTTTTCTTTACACTCTATGTACATGTATGTATTCAGAACTATTGAAGACATATGTTTTAGGATGTGAACCACCCCACCCCCACCACATTTTTCTTAATCTCTACTTTAATCATCGCTAAATAAATAAATTAAAAAGATGAGGAGATTTATCATTAATTAATTTAATAATAATCCTGAAATACAAATGCAAATCTGTAAAAATTGATTTTTATTCTTAATAATAGCTATAAATTGAAATAACGTTTTGCTTTCGTCGCCCGCGAGACACAGTGATTCGAGCATCTGCTTTAGAGTCTAGGAGTAGGGAGTTCATTCTTTTAATAGCGACACCAAATTATTTTCTTGTTTGTCGGACATCTGGTGACAAAAGTTGGCAAACAGTTTAGTAAAAATTTTGTTTTACTTTTTTGAAGGAAATATTTTTTGGTGGAACTTGAACATATATTCACCCTACCTTATTTTTATTTATTTTTTTACGTATAGCAGAATGACGAGGAGTACGAAAAATGGGTAGAAAATAAAAGGAAAAAATATCAACAAGACATTGTAATTTAGCGATCTTGCATGGGGAGCATAAATACACAATCATGTTTAGCAGGATTCACAGAAACTGCAGGAAAAGACGGGGGGGGGGGGGTAATTGTAACATTTCATATATTGAATTAAAAGAGGCTTTTCACGGAGCTGCCCCCCCCCCTTCTTAAAAAGTCTACAGAATTTTATTTCCATCAACTGTCATACATTTCTTTTTAGCTTGTAAAGGAATTTTGTATTTTTGTGCTCCAGCAATTAAAAAATCAACTTCTTAGACAGCACATTCCTGTCTTGGTCAATGAAAAAATGCAATACTTAAATCAATAGATTCATGTTTCTGCATTTCCCTCACGACCCCAACCCCCTCCTCCCTACACATAGAGACACACATGAAGACATACATCTAATCCATACAAAAACACACTTTTGGAAAGAAAGGAGGGCAGCCAGAAAAAAAAGCTAACCTACAAATAGAAAAAAAAAATATTGACTTATTTTATATTTCTATATATTAACTATGAATAATGCTTGTAAACGTCCAAAATACTGTAATGATAAGTTTGTTTGTTGATTAAAACGTCTCATTTCGAATATTTCACTGAAACACTGTTACATTGACAACATTCTTCGCCGCGGAGAGCCTCAATTTGACCTTGGCTCTGAGGGTCATTGAGCAGCGAGGGATCATTTTCGTGCCAGCAACTTCCACAACAAGGGACCCCATTTTAATCGGTCTAATTTAAGAACACGTGTTCACGTTCCTCGGTGGGATTAGATCCCGGAACATATATAAGGATCAGACGAGAACTATTCGTTTCATCAGTACATCCATTCAAACTTTTATATATATGCAGTACCTGGATTTTCATCGCCTCTAGTCATGTCAGTCAGAAGTCCGTATCTTTTTTTTTGCTGTGATTTTATGATGAAACTGAATTTTTTTAAATAGTTCAAAATGCTTCCAGATTAAATTAAGTTGACCTAACTTTTGCACTAAAAAATGAAACAAATGTTTTAAGGCATAACAACAATCAAATCCTCTTGTATTCAACAGGTCCATGGAAGGAATAAAGGTGAAACTTTTAAAATGAGGATACAATGTAGGAACCTTTGAAACGCGACATAACTCGTACGTATTATGGAGAGATAACTCTTGTCTGCCACCCCGTCAGCAGTAAATTTATACGACCTGAGACATTTTCACCAAGTTGATCTAATATATTTTGCACTAAAAGCTGAAACGATTGTTTTAAGGCATAACAGCAATATCAAATCTACTTGAATTCAGCAGGTCCATGGAAGGATAAAGGTGACACTTTTAAAACGAGGGAAGGAATTCATGTATAAAGCGACATAACTCGTACGTATTATGGGGAGATAACTCCTGTCAGTGGTTTAGATAGCAAATTTATACGACCTGAAACATGTTCACCACCTTTCACAATAAATCATGCGGAATACATGTACACTTACATACAATAGAGAAATAAAAGGAAATGAAAATCCTGTTAAAGAGAACAAATTTAATTTGGATTAATTTTGAAACAAGTTTAATTTTACAAAATTTAAGGTAGTTCTATACTCTGCACTAAATGGGCCCAATCTTAATAAATCTGCTTTTAAAAGATAGACATAAATCCAAGCAATGGATAGACACAAGAAAAATCATATGTCAGCATGTTCACTTTTCCGCTATTACCTATCGGAGTATATACCCCGAAATGTAAAATACTGAAATTTACCTGTCCAAGATTTTGTTGTATATAAATGAATTAAGGTCTAAACATTCCACTTTAATACCTTAAAGAGAGTAGATATATTATGTTAGTCAACAATATATAATCATTGTTTTGCATCAATTATTATAAATAGATGCACTTTGTTAGACTAACGTATCAAAATTTAATATGAGAAAATATGCTTCACAGGCCAATCTCCGTCATTCAAAAAAAAAGGACTCAAACTTCGTATATTTGCATTATTTTTACTCAATAATAATTAAGAAAAAGATTAAGCTGTCAAAAATTATATGTTGACGCATTTCTTTTCGTGGTATAAGCTCTACACTCAAGGTACACTCCTAATTTCCTTCAGAAAAAAAAAAATATATTGCAACATTTTCCTGTAATGCTGTTAATGTTTGAGTGTATATTTGTACTAACAAAGTTGTACATACTTAAAACAATAATTATACACACCCAATGCCCATTGGTCCTAAAATTTATCTTAATTCACTTCAAAAAAATTAAAACAAACAAGTCTTGTCTGTAAATTGGAGACAATGAAAATGAAAGTGATTGACTGATTTTCACAAACTGGATAATTTTGTAACAGAAAGTAAGTATGCTGCAAGTGAATCAACTTTTGTCATATACGTGTATTCATAAGATAATCTTATAATTTTGAATTAATTCGTGGATAAGCAGTTTTAGGGGGGGGGGGTGCGTCTTAAACAATAATTATTGTTCAAAGTAAATTTAATAATGTTTGATTAGCAAAATTTATAAATGTCTAAGTCAAATCGTAGTCAATGCTTTTCTTCCGAATTATTTTCAACTTGGCCGCCGACAATAGTCGCGACATCTTCGCTAGACAAGGGTTCCTGATACACCCCTCTTCTTATAAATGAGGAGATTAGGGTATCAGGAACCCTTGGATAGCGAAGATGTAGTCGCGAGAGTTTGATACAAATCATGCATGTTCTGATGTAGCAAGTTATTACCTAATTATTTCTGTCAAAAGTTGTTCCCAGGCTTCTCTTTTTTATTACTTTATCCTTAGACTGTAGAACAATAAGTTTTTGTATGTTTGTAGACGCGACCGACTTGGAGCAAAATCGTTACCGTATACTAGTATTTAAAACGCTAACTAAAAGTCAAACCAATATAGTTCAAAAGTCACATCTCGGAAAAAGGAAGTGCTGTGGCGGTTTTACTATCCGTAAATGACGTTGTGCGAGTGAAGACCTACTTTAAAGCGAAATCGAGGGAGAGAAACAGACTAATGCTTTAACTGACATTTAGATTTGCAAAATACAAAAAAAAACAAGGCTCAAGTTAAAAAAAAACCTTGGCGTCGAAACAAGGGGGGCTAGCGGAGGGGGGGGGGGGGTGAGTCCCTTACTTTTTTTTCAAACGATAGAAATAATACATGTATAAATAATAAACATTGGGACGTGTGTATACCCTCCCCCCCCCACACACACACCCTCTTATGCACACACACACACACATACAATGTTTGAAAGATAAAAAATGGTCATGTAAGAACTTCATTCTCTCAAAACCAAAATTCTCTCCTTTATTTAAGTAGAAAAAATGACACCCTTTATTTTTAGATTAATGTCTACACATACATGTAGATATAGATAATATTTATTCAGATTAGTGAACAGATTGGACAACAGGCTAAACAAACTTCCTATAAATCACTTTTCTATATAAGGTCTTGGGTACATGTAACAAATATAATGAACTGAGTTAATATATATAGGATCTCCCATGGTTTGTGGTTTGATATGATTTTTATCCAACGAGTTGTGTGTTTTCTATCCCCGAGCAGAAATAACTAAAGAACTAATAATTTTAATTTTTCTAGAAATCAAACTTTCTTACTTGGTTTTCTATAGGTTTTGTTGTCGATGATGTAGATGTCCCAGTGTGGATGGAGACCTATACAGGATCTCACGATGTCAGGTCTCCCGTGTCTCCAGAGCCACGTCACGTGATCTACACTGACGTGTGATCTTCCTCTGTAATATACAGCCTCCCCTTCTCTTCTTAGTTCCGTTAGAATTTTTTCTCGTTTATCTTTACTCTTGATTTTATTTTCTGGGATATTTACTGTAGAAAAAAAATATACCGTTTATAATAAACATTTACACTGTAATACCATTATGTATATATAACATGTGTATAGGTAGAGATACATTCAAATTATAGATTTATTAAACACGATCAGTTACTTCTATTATAATATGTTAATCTAGTAGCATTAAATTGTAATCGATGAAACTACTACAAACCAACTACAAAAAAGTAATTAAAATGTATAAATGTTTCTACTGAAAACTTTTTAACTCGATTTTAAAATGTAATCAAATTATTTAAAGAAAATTCTGGAAGAAAATTAGAACAATTTACAATTATTTTACTCTGACTTACATATCCGGTGTATCTCATCATATATTCTCGTGTCCTCCATGGTGACGTGAGTCAGTACGTTCATCTGTAGACGGCGTATCAGTATGTCATCACAGACAGAACTACGGACACACTTCTCTCCAGGTTCTCTGTTGTATCTCCGTGATCTCAGGTACACACTGGCTGTGTCATAACTACTGTAAATGAATGGTTTATAACTCTTTTTTGATGCTATCCTATACATTGTCTCGTCCTTTGCGTCCTTCGTTATCTTATCCTGATCTTCCCAAAGGTAATCACGTGACTTCAGTCTGTCCAGAGTCTGCTGTGCTTCCTCACGTGTTACAGGATTATTATATCTGTCGAACACTATCTGTCGTATCTTATTAAGCATGTCCAGCCACTCTGTGTCAGTGAAGTCAGGAGGACCGGAGTCATAACACAGAAAACAGAATAACACGAACACCTCGTCATCAGTCAGTCTGACGAACTTATCTACAACGTGTAGTGAACATATATTGGGTAACACTGTCAATAAATATGATGCATATTATAGTTTTAAGGACCTCCATAATTTAGGTGATTTTTTAAATTCATTTCACCTTTTTTTTCTTCTCATGTAACTCAATTCAGCTTTCTTGACTAGTATGATAGTAATGTTTCAAAAAGGAAAATGGTACGTATTCTATATAGATTTAAATCTGATTACCAGATTGATTGAGAAGTGTTCTAACAATCAAAACACATGTAACGTAACGACCAGCACTGTAGCAACGCTTAATGCTATTTGTATCATTAAAGCTGAACACGATTCGTAAAAGACATGTATCCGCCATTTTAGTTCCCGAGACTCGCTACCCTGCAGACCCATATAAATAGGGCAAGAATAAGAGACTGTTCAGTTTAATCAGTCGACACCGGTGTAGACGGACGTATGCTATACAGGACTTGGTAGCGAGAATAATATCGTAATACTTCGTCTAATGCAGGAAAGTAAGATACCAAATAAATTTACAATTATAAAGTCCCTGAAACGTTCTACTTTCCCACCTGAACGGTGAACGTTCGCTGAACGAACGGTGAACGAACGCTGAACGAACGCAGAGCGAACGGTGAGTGAACGATGCGTGAACGGTGAACGCAACTTGGTGAGCGATGTGTGAACGGTGAACGGTGAGTGAACGCAGAACGCGAACGGAGCGCGAACGCGAGCGAAAAGTGAACGGTGAACGAACGGTGAACGCAAGATGAACGATTTATTCGGAATGCCTTTGGTCTTTTCCTTGCATTGAAATTATTCTTTTATTCTATAATTCAAATGTCATAAATAAATATAAATAAACAATAGGTAAACAAATGATAAATCAATAGATAAATAAATAAATCAAAAAAAATATTCTGCACATACATATCTTTAAATCGATATTTTTATAACATGATTTTAATCGCCGTCAAACGTGTATTTGTTATCACGTGTAGTTAAAAAATAAATTAATCTTATATAGTAAATAATTAAATGCTAATTCTTTTAACTAATAAAATAATGTGGACTTAAGAAGATGAAACTACTACTGAGAGAAACAAAAGATAATAAATAAATAAATTAATTAATTTGTGACGGGGGTCCTCCTGTCACTGGCACTGGTAATTAATGACTATAGTTTTTATTTACATTGTTTATTTACATAATTACAACACAGAAATATATATAAGAAATCACAAAGTTCACAATGCAAAAACACATCCACACTTGTTGACTTTCAGACTTGTTTTTTTCTCTCTCACGCGCGTTCCCAGGGCATGGCCATACCAAATCTCTTTTTCCCCACTTTCTCACACAAATCAATCTAATGCTCACTTTCATCTCTCAGAACTCTATCATGCACAATAAACAACGATAACAGAAACGACAAATAAACAAATTATAAATCCATGCTTGTCCACTCGCTTTCTCTCTAACTAACTAAAATTACACTCTTGGGAAACAGGGCTACAACGCCTGCGCCGCGCACCTGCAACCTATCAGTAACTCTCTCATTCACAATTAATTACCTAAAATTGGGTGATTGCTCTGTGACATACCTCCCATCTCAAGTGTGGCGTCCCGACACACTAATAAAATTACATTTAGTAGACTGATAATGACAATTTGATAACGCTTACAAGAATCACACATTCATAGATAAAGAGACCTTACTACACACAGAAATAATAGCATAGTTTATCATGCATACACATTTCATGTTTTACCTTTTTTTTCTTAGATTTTTACGTTTTATCTTTACATTTTTTTTTAAACAAATGTTTATTTTAGATATACATTATATACACAACCTACAAACATACACTTCAATAATTTATTTCTTTGACTGAATAAAATCTTGTACAATCCTAAAGTCTTTGATTTCAGTTTCACCTAACAACTGGGTGTGTCTGTTCTGAAACTGCACAAAATAACGTTTCTCTAACCGCTTGGAGTCGTTTCTTGACCGCATCATATCTAATACTTTGACAATGGGACCGTTGTCATCGGCCGTCTCGTCTTCGTATTCAACGTCCTCGTCCGGGATATAGTCGTGATCAGGGCGGTCATTAGGAACAAGATACGGCTTCATCCTGTTAGCATGCGCTGTCAAAGTTTCTGATTTGTGATCAGGGTCCTGTAGTCTGTATGTAACATTAGATAAACGCTCGATGATCTCGCACGGTCCGTGCCAATTGTGGGTAAGCTTAGGAGAGAGTCCAGGTTTAGTCGTTGGAGTAAATAACCATATTTTGTCACCTTTAGTAAAGTGAGTCTCTTTCGCTGCACAGTCATGATGTTCCTTCTGGTTTTGTTGACATTTTTGTAAGTTTTCTTTGAGAAGCGTGTAGGCCTCTTGAAGGCGGACTTTTGTCTCTTCCTTATAGTCGTCTGCTACAGCGTAAGAAAATGTTGGCGGACAGAGCACGGCTTCAACGGGTAGAACAGGATCTCGCAAGTGCATCAGGTAGAAGGGTGACTCTTTTGTAGTCTCGTGGATGGCGGTCCTATATGCAAACAGTATGTATGGTATAAAGGTGTCCTAGTCACGCTGATGTCCTGACACATACATTGACAACATCGTTGTGAGTGTTCCATTGAAGCGCTCCACTAGGCCATTGGTCTCCGGGTGGTAGGCAGTAGTAAAAGTTTTCCTGGTATTTGTTAATTTGCATATTTCCTTTATCAGGTTTGATCTAAAGTTCTTACCATTATCTGATAGTAGCTCTCTAGGCGCTCCATGACGACACACTATTTCCTCTACAAAAAGTCGCACAGTCGTTTCTGCATCTGCATTGTTTGCGGCAAATACTTCAGGCCATCGAGTTAGGTAGTCACTGAAAACAAAAATGTACTTATTGGACTTGTAGGTTGGCGGAAATGGTCCAAGGACATCTACAGCTACTCTGTCGAATGGTCCGTTAACTGCCGGTAGCGGGTTCAATGGGCACTTTGGTCTGTTTTTCGGTGATTTCTTAGTAGCACAGTCTACGCATGATCTACACCAAAACTCTACATCTGAATACATTCGCTTCCAATGAAATCTCTCTTGGACTTTGTCATACGTTTTTTGGAAGGAGAGATGACCTGCTGTCAGGTCGTCGTGACAAGCATACATGACTTCGTCTATCTGACTCCTTGGAACAGCTATTTGGCGTCTAATAGCTTGGCGTCGTCTATGAGATCCAGGCTGCCAAAGATGATATAGCAGACCATTGTGTCCGAGTTCATAATCACCAGACAATATTACCGTCTCACGGGCCTTTGAAGATAATTCAGGCAACTCTCCCTTCTCTAAGTAATTAATAATAGCGGCTAGGAGAGGGTCATTTTTCTGACGGTCGCAGATGTCCTGATATGACCTTTTTAGTATTACATCTGCATCTGCCTTAGCACAGGTGGCTGCTATAGGGGATTCGGCAGGAATTCGAGATCAGGCGTCTGCGTTTTGATGAACCTTTCCCGGTCGATGTTTAATGGTTATGTCATACTCTTGAAGAGTTTATGACCATCGCGCTAGGCGTCCTGCTGGATTTTTAATGTCCATAAGCCACCGTAATGGGTTGTGGTCAGTTATCACAGTAAATTTCCGGCCGAATAGATAGTGTCTAAAGTATTTCACACTCTAATGCCTCTTTTTCGATAACTGCATAGTTCTGTTCATTTGGTTTTAGACTCCTACTCGCGTACGCTATTGTCCGTTCACCATCTGGACCTTCTTGGGCCAATACGGCACCTACACCAGTGTCACATGCATCCGTGTACAGGATAAACGGAAGCGAGAAATCCGGATACCTAAGAATAGGAAAGCTGGTCAAAGCTGATTTGAAGAATTCAAAAGCACTCTCGCAGTTCTTGTCCCAAATGAATTCGACACCTTTCCTTAAGAGCTTGTGTAAGGGAGCAGCCTTACTTGCAAAATCCTTTACAAACTTACGGTAGTAATAGATGAGTCCCAGAAAGCTTCTAAGTTCGCTAACATTTTTTGGCTTCGGAAAGTTGTGAATTGACTTTACTTTCTCCGTGTCAGGCGATATTCCGTCAGTTGAGACTTTGTGTCCAAGGAACGTGACCTCCGTTTTTCCGAAGTAACACTTCTTCGCTTTTAACTTTAACCCTGAATTTTCGAATCGTTTTAGCACTTCCTCAAGTCTTTTGACATGGTCGAAAATAGTTTCCGAGAAGACAATTACGTCATCTATATACACAAGACACGTGTTCCACAGTAATCCTGAAAGCACAGAGTCCATAAGTCTCTGGAATGTTGGCGCACTGTTACACAGTCCAAATGGCATATAATTATATTCATAATGCCCTCCAAAGAAAGAAAACGCGGTCTTTTCTCTGTCACTTTCCTTAATGGGAACTTGGTGGTATTCTTGACACAAATCTAAGACACTGAAGTACTTGGACTTATTAAGTGCATCCAGCATTTCATCGATCCTAGGGAGAGGGTAGACGTCCTTTTTGGTGACTTCGTTTATTTTACGAAAATCAATGCACATGCGAACCTTGCCATCTTTCTTCGGCACCAAAACGGACTCTTAGACGGTCGCACAATTCCATTAGCGCACATTGTTTCTATCTGGGATTCCAGTAACATCCGCTGGCTGTGAGGAATCCTATAAGGCCTAAAGTGAATAGGTTTACTGTCCCCTGTATCTATAGAATGTTCAACCAAATCTGTCTTCCCTAATTCATTATCACTGAAAGCAAACACTTTTCTATACTTATCTAATACCTTCGTAATAGACTTGCGTTCCGTTTCACCTAAATCACCTGATACATAGAAATCATCTATACCTTGCTCACCAGACTCAACGCTCTCACTTATCTCAATCCCATTCAAGTTCTTGTCATTACATACATCTTGCACACTCTCGCTAGTCGAACTTGCATCCGAAATAAATGAGATACATTCATCATTTATATATACAGAATCATTTGCAACATCAATATAGCATGCACAGTCCTTCAAAATGTCCAAACCTAAAATACAATCATACGGGAAATCACGAG